GTTGCAGGCGTTGAAAAAGTGCCCCTCGGGGGTGAGTTGGACCAGGTCGCGGTCTACTCTCCCCTTCCGAGCGAGCCGCGCGTGGCCGCGGGGGGGCCGAGCGTCGCCCGGGGCCAGGGGGGCCGTGCACCAGGGCGGCGAAGTGGTTGTTGCACGATTGGAAGACCTGCTTGGAGAGGTCGCTGAGGGGAGGGCTGCGGCGGCGCGGTCGAAATGGGAGACGGTCGGCACTGGCCTGGGCCGCTGGAACACCAGCCCGACGCTCTCATCGACGTCGCTCGTGGCGACTGCTGGAAAACCTTCGGCGCCTGGGCGCGCGGCGCGTCGGGGTCGCGGGCGGCCGTGCCCAGGGCGGGCGCCGCGCGGCGGCGGCGAGCTGAGCCGACGCCGCGCCCGTGCTGCGCCCTGTCGGCAGCCTGCTCGCCGGCGACGCCGGCGCCCCTGAAAGCGAGGAAGGAAAAAGCCGCGGGGAGGGGGGCGCCGAACAGGTCCTGCGGCTCGTGCCTCTTCTCGTGCATCTCTTCGACGGCTTCGTGGAGCTTCCAGCGCTGCATTTCGGACGGAGCCTCGCCCGCTCTTTTGATCGGTGGGGAAGTCTGGCCGATGGGGGGGGCGCCTGTCAAATGGGGGGTAAGGGGGCCAAACTTCTCTCGGTTGCGCTTGACGAGGCACGTGTTGGAAAGGTATATGAAGCCCTTATTGAAACCTATGCGCCTGCACTCCGCGTCGGAGAGCGCGCTTCAAAGCTCTTTTAATCCGAGCCATGCCACCTCGAACGCGGCGATCTCGTCGGCCGGGCGGCCCGCGATGGAGAGGATCGGCTTCTCGGAGCAAAGGCCGTCGGACCTCCTGCGCTTGATCAAATGGCCACGGGCCCAGCCAAGTCGGAAATAGGCCCCCTTGTGGCAGGGCTTGATCCTGTCTGAGATCTCGTAGACCTCGCAGTCCCCAAGGCGCGTGTTCTTCGCCAACTCTGTGATCGACATGCCTATTCGCCGGAGCTCGTTGCGCGCCCGGTCGGCCCCGTCGTCGCGCGGCTCGATCAGGGCTCTGGTCTCTATCCACGTGATCAATTGAAGGCGTGTGCCGCGTTTATTGCATGGGGCCAGTCGGAAGGGGGGCGAATGGCGCCTGGGACTTGACAAAGGGGAACCCTGACGAGCGTCCTCGCCCCGGGGTGGGTCGTGGGGCGCTCGCGCAGCTGCCCGATTGCGGCTGCAAGATGGGAAGGGTCTGGCGGACCCGGAAATTGGGTCCACGCCTGGGCCAGGGGCTTAGAACTATGCGGGGGGAGGCTTCGCGCCCTAGTCGATCCGCGCGGGGCGGTGGGGGTCGGCCCCGCGCACGTGCTGGGCGAGCCAACGCTCGACGGTTGGGGAAGCGCTCCAGGGGGCCAGGGCGGGGGGTCAGCCGGAGGCGGAGGGGCGGGGTCAACGGCGTTGACCAGAGTGGGGGTGACACCGATAGAAAGGTTGGCGCCGATGTGCCAAGGGAGTGCCTTGAAGGGATCTCGGGTCACACTGGGGTCGACCTTGGTGCCGGGGGGGTAGACGTAGTCCTGAGGTGCGTCAGGTAGTGGGTAGCTGTGGGGGAAGTGGCCCCAGTCTTCGGGGACAGAGATGTTCCGCAGCTGCCTGGTGCCACCCGCCATGTCGTATTCAAGGAATTGCCTGCCTTTCCAGCGTTAAGCGCTCCACCGTCTGTCCCAAGACTTTGTCTTAGCTTCCTCCCTGCATGCGGACCCACATATTGCCCACAGTGGTCTACGTGTGGGGGTCGTGCCACTCGCTTGCCCACGTTCGTACAAGCTCGCCTAGATGAGAAGCGGCGGAGAAGTGGTCCTTCCCGTAGACTTCTTTCTGACAGGGCTCACAAAAGTAGCACCAGTGACCGTTGAAGTAGACCCAGCGAAACCAGGGACAGAGTCGGGCCACAAAAAGGCGAATTTCGGTGGAGCCTTCGGCCAAAGGGGTGTCGGGTACACACTTGTAGCAACTAGGCCAGCGGGCCAGTGGCCCGTTGTTGTTCCTGCCGCCCATGGCGCCGCGCTTGGGGGGAAGCCAGCGCCTTAGCGTCCCGGATAGCGGGCATCGGGGCGCGCGTCCCGAACTTGCTGGTGTAAGTTTCGTTATCGCTCCAAGCTTTCGTCCGCGAGTATTTCTTTACTGGCAGCTGGACAACCGCATTGCCTCTATCAAAGTCCGCACTGGCGCTGGGCGGCTCACGCTATGCACTGCGAGCGCCCCGCACAACGACAAACCGACGGATGAGAACCTGAGCTGTGGCGACCGCCTACACAATGATTTGGCGGCACTCCTTGGTTTATGGTCATCGGCTGGTGTTCGGCGACTGGAACGCCAGATTTGATGGAGGACGGGCTGAACAGGAGGGTGCTATGGGTGAACATTCGTTCGGCCGGGAAGCGGCGAAGGAAAAAAACGCGATTTAGTCATGGATCTATGACAAAGAGTTTGATTCCATCGTCGCGAAAACTGTGTTCAATCTTCCACTGGAGTTCAAAGCACATGCCACGAGCCTTGAACTCCGGCCCGTTAGCCCCATCACGGCCAACGGTTACAACGCCCTTGACTTGCTGCTGGTCCCAGTGCCTCTGGAGAGAAATCTGATGGACATACGGAGTGACACGACGACCACCCCCGCATCTCACCATTACCCAGAGTTAGCAAACTTCGTGAACGTCGAGGCGGAGTCCAGGCAGGAGACGAAGCATAGACGAAAGCGTAAATATTGGGGGAAGCTCGGGTCACCTTCTGGGCCTAAATCTTTGTCGCGAGAGGTTTCGAGATTGACTACGCCGTTGTCTCACTGTAGCCATTTGTCCCAGCGCTGCCAAGTTACTTCGAGCTCTGTGTTGACCGTTGTGGAGGCCGTCGTGCCAGACATGGTGCGCACGCCGAGGATCTCCCAACGCACGCTGTCTCTCTGGAGTGACCGGCGGCAGGCACACGTCGACGGAGATTGGGAAACAGAGCTCGTTTTGAGGAAGTCTGTCAAACGATCTGCTAAACAAGATCGTGCCAGATGACTGGAAGATCTTACTGCTTCTGGTGACTGGGGATGCATCAAAAGCATGACGAAACCGACAGCGAGATCTCAAGGCCGTTTGAGTAACAGCGCGGATGACCCCGTCGCGACAGACGAGCGTGCAAAGACGTTCGCACAACATCTGAACACGATCCAATGGCATGTGCGACACGTCATTCTTACGCCGAATACGGAGGACATGATTTACCCTCGCTTGAATATCAATTTGGGCAGATTCACAATGTGGATCTCCAGGGAGCTTTGCAACGCATGCGTTCTGAGAAATCTTGCAAACCTGAAGACGTCACAGCAGAGGTGTACAAGGCGCTGGCCGACGAGCCAGGGGCAACTGCAGTGGCTGCTAGACATCTGCAACGAAGCTTGGAACAGCAAGAAACTCCCATATTCACGGTGCGCTTGGAAAGGGCGCCCGCTATGCAAGGAGGGAGACCCAACCAATTGCGACAACTGTCGCCCTCAATATTTGCAACGCGTCGCAATTAAAGTCCGTTCGGCGATGTTGAAGGCAAGGTTGCTGGACGCTGGCATCGACGACAAACTGGGGCGAACCCAATTTGGCTTCCGTGCTGGGCGCAGTACGGAGCACGCCATTTACGCAGCAAAGCGGAACATAGACTCGGCGAGGGCAAAGAAGAACGGCTCTGTTACCCTCGTCGCCCTGCACTTGGCGAGAGCGTCCGAAAGCATCCACACTGACAGCTTAGTGGACGCGCTTAGGAAGCTAGTGATCCCAGAAAAGTTTCGGACAATGATACGCGTGATGATGACTGAGAGGATGTGTGGTCAGCGGACGCAATATCGACTCTGCTCCGATGCCGCAGCTGTCTGGCATCTCTCAAGGGTGCACGCTCAGCCCACTGCTGTTGATTCTCGTGATGACAGTGCTACTGCACAACGCTGACGGTCTCTTGGTAGGTGGAGCGAAGGATTCTTACATGAAGGGAGACTTGTGCGAGGGCGTCTACGCGAACGCCACCCTGCGGTACAGACAACGTGGTCTTGAATGAACACTTGAAAACAATTTCTGACGAAGGGTCGCAGGTACGGCTTTGGGTGGCAGTGGCCAAGTTCCAGGTCCGTGCTGTGAGAGCGAAAGGGAACGTTTGTGCCCCGGATGGCACAGCGCGTAAGCAAGTAAAGCAGTTTCAATACTTAGTTGCACGTCTGTCAGCCGCCGCAGACGCGGGACCTGAACTAGGGCGCAAGATCGGGGACGCAAAGGGGGTGTTATCGTCGCTCAGTAAATTGTGGTACCATTCCTCTCCGCCTCGGAGAGGCAAATTACTTGTTGTTCTCGTCGGAAGTGGAATCGTAATTGCTCTATGGGCTCGCTGAAGCATGCTTGAACAAAAACCAGACACATCGTCTGGACGGCTTCAAGAACAAATGCATCAGAAAGATCATTGGCATCAAACCGTCATGGTTGTCAAACAAACCAAACGCATAAGTACTGACCCGTGCGCACCGCACATGAGCCAGCACACTGCTACTGTACCGGCAGATCCCTCTGTTCGGCGACGTGCTGCGCTCAAGTGAGAACAGTTTGCTTCGCCGCGCCACGTTCGCGCCGAATTCTTTCACGCCGGCGACTGCTGCCGTAGTGCGGCGCAGAGGTGCGCCGAGCAGAGATTTCACCCCCACCAAGTTGATACGAGCAGTAGGCATTTTCGGCGGTGTTCGCGCGACAGTCGACGCAGCCCAGTCTGAATCGGGCTGGAAGCGCACGAGGCGCCATCACATTCTCTCACTGTGATTCTCCAAGTGCTTGCGTCTGCTGTCCTTGCCGCGCTCTGTCTGTCCACGCACCGCCTGGTGTACGACCTGGAAGAAAAGAGTCGTTTCCTGACCATCCCGGGGCCCGTGGGGGGCCCCTGGAAGCCAGCACGGCGCAAAAACTCGGGACCCGTTCCCCGCAGGGCCCGTTTCCTTCATGCCGGAATCCTTGTGGCCCTTCTCGTGCAGGTGCACGTCCGCCAGCGTGTACAGCGCCAGCGCCTGGCCCCAGGTGTTCCCCGCGTCCATGCAGGCCTCCAGCGCGTCCTCGAGGAGCTCGCGCGCCTCGGCGAAGCGGTCGGCCAGGATGTGGAACCGGGCGACTGTTTGCAGGGCGCTTGCCACCTTGGGAGGCAACGTCTGTGAAGCCTTCGTCAGAACGATCCAGGACTATTCATACGCCTGAATACAAAGCTAGTGAGCCGGGTGAGCCGCACTTGATTGAGCCCAGGATTTGGCTGGATTGAGCACGATTTAGCCGGATTGCGCGGGATTGAGCCAGATTGAGCGGGATTCAGCTGGATTAGACAACTTTGTTCGACCAGGGAATTACCAGCGTCGACTCTAAATTTGAATCTGACCTCCCAGGAGTTGCATCCCAGGCCACCCACTTCTTGTCCCGCAGCTCTCTGCACAGCTCCAGGGCCTCCTCCGCGGCGGCGAAGGCCTCCCTCGGCACATCAGGCTGCGCGTCGGGGTTGCCCGTCGTGGTGTAGGCGTGTAGCCGCCGGGCCGGCGTGCGGCTCTCACGCGCGGGCTTGGACGGAACAGTATAGGCAGTGACACAAGAGCCCAACCCCTGCCGGCCAGATTCGGAATCACTGGCAGATGTCTGAAGGATCTCTCGTGCCAAGGGAGCTCCCACGTGGGGTGTCCGATACTGCGGCGTCGATTCGCCCCACAGGGGTGGGATTCGCAAGCGGTCGCAGGAGGAGAACAAGACGATGGCCACACGGATGAATCCCAATACGGACGAAACAAATCTGGAAAGCGCGAACCAATCATCCTTAGGCTGCGGCCGAGTACGGATGTACTGCTGCCCACGCTGCCTTGCGGGACGATGGGTGGTCGCGGACACGTGGCGGAGCCATGTAGATTAACGTGTTCAATGCCATCACTTCTGCCCGCCTTTTGCATGAAACAGACGGGTCACGACGGGAACGGGTCCTGGACCCTGGGGTCTTACCAGGTAGGACGTGAATGAGGTTATGATAGGATTAGCTCAGACTGCGTTCCAGGATGCCCAAGGAACAACTAGCGCTTATCGTTTCTGCAGCCCGTGTAAAACATTATGGGAGGTTGGGGAATACTGCAAATCTTGGAAATACCGGACCGTGCCATTATCATTACCTCTGCTTCTTTCGACCAAGAACCAATGTGTTATCCTGGTATCGTTCTTCGACGAGCCCCAATAAGAGCCCCCCAAACAGAGAAAAGCCTCATGACCCGGTTGCTCCATGGCAGCGCCTGTCGCGCACCGCAGCCTGCCGTATCCTCTCCAGGCCCTCCGTCGCCGTCCGCAGCGCCTTCCTGCCCTCGCCGCCGCCGAGGTGTGCGTGGACGATGACCGCGAGCGAGGCGGCGTGACCCCTGGCGTAGCCTATCCTGACGGAATAAAGAACTACGTGTACACAAACTGTTGAAACGTCGCCGAATTTCTGGGATCGACGCTGGACCCCTTCACCCTGGCGCGCGGAGCGCGCCAGAGGCGCCGTCAGGGGGGTTCCAGCGCCGATCCAACAAATCCGCGCGGAGCTCCAAACGCCTATGTTTATAACATTCTCTGTTCCGCGATATCCGCTGCGAGATACCGAGCGAATCGATCGCGTCCAGCATGGCCTGCCGGTAGTCTCCCCGCAGCAGGCGGGTCTCCGCCCGCGCGTTGATCGCCGCGGCAACGCCCTTGCTGTCGTCGAGGCCCCGCAGCAGGGCCAGGGAGTCCTCTCGGGCTCTTGGGAGTTCGTTGATTCGGGGTCCCAGGACTGTGCGTTGACGGACCGCGTGATGACCTCCCCAGACATGCTCGCGTCGTTACGGAATCACGACGGACGGTTTGTGACCATTTTCGAACACCTGGGGCACTCGCCGGGCCCTGGCACCAGGAAAAGGGTCGGGACTTCTGGGGACCCGTTCTGGAAAAAGCAGGACATGACATGTCTGGGTCGGAGTCCCTGAAGACCTCCTCATCGCGTGGTCCATCATCGCATGGCTTGGAGACCCTGGAGGCCCCTGTCGCCCGAGACGTCCTCGGAGAACGACCCGAATCCCAAAGCCGTGCAGTGACCCCGAACCCCCACTAACCCACCACGCGGGGCGGTCACCACACCGTTCGGGGGCCGCCGGGCCAACGGGGGGGACATGAAACAGTGGGTGGAGAAACGTGCACCTTGCCGACTCCATGTGGGCCGTGGGCTGTGGCCGTTTGGAGCAACTTCCCTGCAATCCTCGACAACGGGGGACAGAACAATACAGATTCCGCTGATCCCTGGACTTTTTCAGCGGTGCGATCTGACCAAAACTTCGAGACGAGTCTTGCCGTGGCGACGGGAGGTGGGTAGTGGTACTGGTATCCGACCAGCCCTGTAGGGCGCGAGTGGTTCAGAGCATTTCCTCTTCCAACCCTCTTCTTTCCCTTCGCGGAGGTGTTAATTATTCTCCCATTACTAGACACCCCCTCCCACAAGCGACCAGCAGCCAATCCGTCCCCATGAGGGCCCCCACAACCGTCCTTGTCAAGGAACGATACAAAATACACTTTGGGGCAAAATCCTGGGTCATGCTCGATGGCACCACGAGCACTTTGTATTGTTTCTTGACAGGGGCTGTGGGGCTGCCAGCATATTGCCTGCTGTGCGCAGGGCCGCCATCCCTGTCAACGGGCACAATACAAAATGCACTTCCCACGAACACTGTCCTTTTTCGTTGTTGACAGGGACGGCGAGGGTGCTGGCATATTGCCTGCTGTGTGCAGACCCACCAGACACCGATTGCGCATTCCCAGAAAACTTACCATCCGAGCATGCTGAGGCTCGGGTGCTAACTTAGATATGTGTTGGAAAGGCGGGTGGGAAAGAGCGAAACTGCTTGCGTGCGAGGTGGGTGTCTTGACTCCTTCCCCTCCCCCCTCCCCCTGGGTCTGGACTGGAGGCGGTCGCGGGTCGTTAGTGCCCAAGAAGCCATCTTCTAAGAGGCGAGATTGATCTTACGTGGGTTTGGGCCCAATGTTGGCCTCCTGAAAGGGCGAGGCTAACGGAGGCCCCCACTTCTTTGATCGAACTCCTCCAAGATGGCCCCAAGATGGCTCCCAAGGCTCTCAAGAGTGCTCCGAGAGTTCCCCCAAAGGCGCCCAAGAGGCCCCAAGAGGCCCACAAGAGGTTCCCAAGAGGCTCCCAAGAGACCCCCAAGAGGCCTCAAGAGGTTCTCCCTCCCCCTCCTCCTTGACCATTTCCTTCTCCATCATCCCCCTCTTAGGGAATGACGACTTCCACAGCCCCTTATTTCACTGCATGCGACTCCACATCTCTGATCAGGGCAACTCGCCTGGGCATCGTCTCTGGATGGGCTGGTGGAGTATCGCCTAGAATATGCTCCCTCTCTTGAATGTCGCCACCCCACTACCGAGCGCCCATCCTCCAACGACTCCAGCCCAGCATCGTCCCGGTCGATCACGAAGTGGGCGTGCGCCAATCTTGGGGGGCACGTGCAACAATGTAAGAGATCGTTTTGTACTTTCCGGCGATGACCCAAATTATCCGGGGGGTGGTGCGCTGACGACCGAGGTAACCAAACCGTTTCGCAGTGGGCAGCCTCACGTACGCCCGCGCGCACCAGCACTGCGTCTCATACTGCTGCTAACGATGCTGCGATGATGCTTCTG